TAATAAATAAATATATTTAATGGATAATTTAAGAACACAGCTTGGGGTTATTGACGTTAGCCCCTGGCAGTGGCTGCAACATTGGCGGCCTGTTGGGCGATACCCAGTCCCTGGATGGTGGCATCCCGAGTGTGCTGGCCAATGCGTTCCTGTAATAACACAAAAATACATCATAAGTATTGGTTTATACTGAATATACCTTCAAAACACTTACAATTCTCTTGCCAAGCTTCTTCAACCAACCAGCCTCGGATTGACCTATGCTGATGGCAAGGATGAGGGCAACAAAGATGAAGATCTTGTAGAAGTTCATGTTGAGATGTGGTATTTGAAATTCCTTGGAATGTAGTGGGTTAAGATCTGAATGTTACCGTGGCTGCTGGAGCTGAGCGACTGATGATTTGAGTAGCCAGACAGTGCCTCTTTTATATGTTGAATGATTCAAGCCATCAAGCTGCCGTCGGCAAGCAGCAGGCTGATAAGCTTTTAATGTGGCTTGCATGAATGCATAGGGGATTTTGTCTGGCAAGAAGACGAACGAACGCAAGCAGTGTAGTCGTTCTAATAAGAATGTCAGGAAAAAATGTTTAATTCGGGTAACCACCAAACACGTTTGTCATACTTTAAAGCCAAATGCAAATTGGGTGATTTACAGAAGTTTACTACTAGGCAAATCATTAATGAAATTTTGCGCGGGTTTTTCTGTTTCTCTACTACAGCAAATTGTGTGAAATACAACATTTTACTACGAACTAAATCATGAATGAAATTTTGTGTGGATTTCTTTTGCTCTTCACTCAAAAATGAATATGCCACTGACCTGTTCTGGCTGATCGTAATGACATTTAGCGATCGCTTCGACCGGGCCTACACGTATTAAATTAACCGCAGAGAGAACGTTAATTTGTTTATTTAAAATATTTGAAATCAGAATATTGTTGCTTTAATATTCTAAGTATTTTTCTACTCAACAGTTTTTTGGACCACGCCCACTCTCGGTCCCAAAATGATCAAATGCCTATATCTCCCGCAATTTAAGAGCTAAATTTACCAAACTTGGAAGAACGATTAAAAGGAACTTTCTCTAATAATTGTTTTCAGCCACGCCCACTCCCGCCCCCAAAATTCCCAGAAGCCCATATCAACCGCTCTTTTAAAGTCAAACTTAGACGCCAGATAACTTAAAATCTCCTTCAAGGATCATATTTCATGGATGATACTTTATGGTATCAGAGTATTTTGTAGTCGGTTACGCCCGACTGCAATGTTGTCACTTGATTTTGTGAGTATTTAAAAAAAATGATTTCATAAAAGAATTTATCTTTCGACTGATTGTTCCAATGAGATTTATATGATTGATTTGATTGATCCGGCAAAATCCAATATATTTATCGCCTGTAGTAAAAAGTCTATGTATATGCCAAGTTTTATCATATTTCTATACTGATCAGGAATATATATACCTCGGATATATTCCGCAGAAATGTCTCCCTTAATGTATTCAGAATTACATCATGACAAATACTGTTTAATAATTTTGCTGAAATAAATGGTGTATTAACAGAGCAAATACAATATAAGCTAATTATAAAAGTTTACAATTTAACTGCTCTAATGATATAAGGTCTACTAAAAGAAATATCAAAAAGCATATAACAAATGATTCCCCAATTTAAAACTCTTACAAAGTCAGGTTGACATTCGCGTAGTATTCCCCATAAAAAATCCCCTATTCATCTGCGTTGTTTTTATTCGCGCAACATCTGTTCAAACCTTATCAGACTCGGTAAGGTGCTCGACTGCTGATTTGCGGTATATAAGCACGTTCAGCTGGCTACTCAAATCATCAGTCGCTCAGCTCCAGCAACCACAGTAACAGCTCAAATCCTTACTCACTATCTTCCAAGGAATTTCAAATACCACATCTCAAAATGAACTTCTACAAGATCTTCATCTTTGTTGCCCTCATCCTTGCCATCAGCATAGGTCAATCCGAGGCTGGTTGGTTGAAGAAGCTTGGCAAGAGAATTGTAAGTGCTTTGAAGGTATATTCAGTATAAACCAAGACTTATGATATATTTTTGTGTTATTACAGGAACGCGTTGGCCAGCACACTCGGGATGCCACCATCCAGGGACTGGGTATCGCCCAACAGGCCGCCAATGTTGCAGCCACTGCCAGGGGCTAACGTCAATAACCCCAAGCTGTGTTCTTAAATTATCCATTAAATATATTTATTTATTAAATTTAAGTGTTTACATATAATAAAAAAAATAGTAATGAAAATATTGCGAAGCAAAACCTTTTGTGTATTTTAAAAGAAATAAAATCAAATTATATACAGATTAAAATCATGACCTATATGACTCCATATTATTTATATATTCTTTATCAGTATCTCTACCCGAGTCGGTATTACCATTCCGGTCCGTCTGCTAGTCTGTTTCTTTGCAAATTTGGCTTTCATGAATGCATAGGGGGATTTTGTCCCGCAAGAAAGCGAATTGAAAGAAAGCATGGTGAGTGTGGTAAGATTTGCCATAAAAAATATTTCCATGAATCATGTCTTGACAATTTAAATAATTTTGTTTAAATAGTAAATATATTAGCAACTAATATATTTGCATTTATTCAGATGTTTTGTTATTATATGTCCGGCAATTGTGATCGATTATGCCAGATACAGTTTTAGGAATAAACTAATAAAGTATTGCTGCAAAATTTGTGTAAGCTAAGACCAATGACGAAACAAAACAATATCGAATAACACTTAAGCCAAAATTCTAGGTATTTCCGCACTCTCCCAATTAGTCGCTCTCATAAGAAGGTCAGTAAAAAAGGTTTAATCCGGGTAACCACCAAAAATATTTGTCATACTTTAAAGCCAAATGCAAATTGGGTGAATTACAAAAGTTTACTACTAGGCAAATCATGAATGAAATTTTGCGCGGGTTTTTCTGCTTCTGTACTACAGCCAATTGTGTGAAATACAAAATTTTACTACGAGCTAAATCAGGAATGAAACTTTGTGACCTCTTTACTCAAAAATGACTATGCCACTTACCGGTTCTGCTTCGAGCCGGCAAACAAAAAGAACCGCAAAGAGAACGTTTTTTTTGTATTTATTTGTCATTGTTGTTGTTGCTGATGCGTTTGTCTGTTGCCTGGTGCTTTATCAGCATTTCTTTCTGGTTATCGATTGACTGCGCTTATTGATCTGTTCTGCTCTGGACCTGCACTCTGTGAATCCCGGTCTCTCAATCTCAAGAAAAATTCCCCGGCATGTTCAGAAACAATTAGGCACGTAGACCTAGGCATAAAAGGGTGTGTGTACACAAAAGACAATAAAGAACTCAGGAAGTATAAAGCTATATGTAGGTGTGGGTGCGTGTATTCATATAAAGTGTATATTTCGAATTATCATTGAAGGTTTTGCTTAGCGCTGCCCTCCCTCTTTTAGAGATTAAGAGAACTGACTTTAGAGCTCAGAGCGAGCAGACAAGCACTAAAATATTGTATCATTTATAGGCGCACTGAACTGAGTAATCTGTTAGAGTATACGTATATAATATAATAAAATATAATATTTGTATTTTAGAATACATTATCATGTATATATATAAAAAAAAAAAACCATTCGACTGTAGCAATTATTTGTTCAGATGATTATGTTTATTTGTTCATAAAGAAACTACATTTATAAATTCTCTTAAATATGATTTTGAGTGCAAGCTGCTTCGAGTATATATTTTTTTCTTATAGATAACGTTACAGATTATAGTACTTATTTAAATTAAAGTGTATATATATAATTTCAGTTTTTTTTAAATTGCAATATTTTATTCATATTCTTATGATAGAAACTTGTAGCCCTACATTGGCTTTACTGTAATGTGCGAGAATGCTCTCCCCACAGCTGATTTTTATCATCAGTTGCATTTATTGTCTTACTTACGCTTCTCTGAGCGCACAAATGTTCTTAACTCATTATGCCAGAGTTTGAATCGAGAATCCGAATCCGACTCGAAGTTGAAGTTGGAGTTTGCAATGTGTCTGTTTTGACATACTTGTTGTCCTGGCGGGTTGCCCTTGCTTGCGGCTGTCACTCAGCGGTTAATTCAAGCGAGTTTATTTACATTTTGACAAAAGCCCGCCACAGCAACAAAAACAGAACCGGAAAGTAACGCAACAGAAACTTAGACACTGCCGTCGACTGCTGACAGAACGACAGGTTTGCAAGCGACGGATGGGGGTGAAGCGTATTGCTTGGTAACGCTTTTGAATTTGATTTGGCACTGCCCGAAGTCAAGACCCAGGACCGTAAAGCGTTTTTACTTGTTAAGGAAATTAGTGGCATATCCTGACAGTGGGCACATCCTCCTATGGCATAACTTGTGTTTCTGTTCATTTTAATTCGCTTGTTGTCTTTGCTCTTCGCATTTAAAGACGTTTGTTGGTGTTGTTGTTGTCTTTTTTACAGCAGGCATTTGGTGGTTGATAGTGTGCCACACCCCCCTTCGGATATGCCAACCATAAGAGTATGATCTCTAACAAACAAAGAGACAGTTGTTGTCGATTTCACATTCGTTTGCAATCAAAGACCTGCTCAACAAAAGCAAAATTCATAATTGTATGTTAAAAATGCACATTTGAAATATATATACTTGATGTATCAGCTCATTTAATTCTGAAGAAAAAAATGGTTTTTATTCTATGACACAAGTTTAAAATAAATGTTGAATTACTTAACATAAAAAGCATAAACCGTTCAGAATATTATTCGACTCGAAGACAAAACATATTGTGACTTTCCCGTATTTCTGTATGACTTTTGTACTTTTTTGCAAAACAAAATCCCCGAGCCTCAATACTCAGCGTGTCAAGCCTTATCAGCATCGCAATGCATCTGTGAGCGCACAGCTTGAATCATTCGACATATAAAAGAGGCACTGTCTGGCTACTCAGATCATCAGTCGCTCAGCTCCAGCAGCCACAGTAACAACTCAGCTCTTAACCCACTACATTCCAAGGAATTTCAAATACCACATCTCAACATGAACTTCCACAAGATCTTCATCTTTGTTGCCCTCATCCTTGCCGTCAGCATAGGTCAATCCGAGGCTGGTTGGTTGAAGAAGCTTGGCAAGAGAATTGTAAGTGTTTTGAAGGTGCACACAATATAAACCAATACTTATGATATATTTTTGTGTTATTACAGGAACGCATTGGCCAGCACACTCGGGATGCCACCATTCAGGGACTGGGTATCGCCCAACAGGCCGCCAATGTTGCAGCCACTGCCAGGGGCTGATGTCAATAGCCCCCATCAATAGCTGTGCTCTTCAATTATTCATTAAATATATTTATTTTAATTTTAAGTGTTTACATATATAAATAAATTTAACAATTAAAATATTTCGAAGCAAAACCTCTTGTGACTTTTAAAAGAAATAAAATAAAATTATATACAGAGTAATATCATGACTTTCGTGACTCTATTATTGCAGAGAATATTATGTTTTTGTTTTGATGTTTGATGTTGATCCCACAAAGTATATGCATATATTCTTTATCAGCATTACTAGCCGAGTCGGTGTAGCCTTTTCCGTCTGTCCGTCTGTTTCTATGCAAACTGGTCCCTCAGTTGTAAAAACTGTCTAACTTGGCACACTTGCTAAATTTTGCAGAAGGCAGAACAAATGTCCAATTTTTTATAATTTTTGTTAGTATTTTGAACTCAACTTAGCAATCAGAACTTTAGGATTGCCGCAGAATACTGAAGCTACAATATTCAACTTTCGAATATTTGTAAATAAACAAATATATTTATTTCTGTAGCAGTGATGAGTAATCTTAATATTCTACTTTCTTTCTACTTTCGGAAATTTGATGTTATGTCGGGAACTCTCGTTTTAGTGTGCAACCCCCGGAAATTCCAAATTTTCAAAGCATCTAGTTAATTGGCAAATTGACAATGCTCAAAAGACAAGAACATATTCACTTAATGGAATCGAATATGTCTAACTCAATTGCAATTTTCGCATTAAGTTTTAGCACCGGATTCAAGGGTCTGAATCAAAAGTACTTTCAAATATTTAATTAAGTTGGATTATAAACCTATTCCAATATTTATTGGCAAACGCCGAAACAGAATTTATTGATGTCATAAGAGCTTGACGAACCGGTTTGGTAATTAACAGAAACAACCAATTAACTGTTAAAGACAGTTTATTATAGCCTAGCTGACAGTGAATGTATCAAACAACCTATTGCAAAAAAAGAAAATAATGATTCATCAGCCAGCAAAAATATTCGCGCTTTTTAAATGGCTTCTCTTTTTAGCCCCATTAAATATTAATGCACACCAAAATTCTTACACACGTATGTTCGTTATTTATTTAATCAAAATATCCATCTGGACTAAAAGATTTGGGTATTTTTTTAATGATTCATATTTCACAGTATTTTCCCTTATTCTGTCATAAATTTAGGTATATTTCCTGCAAAACAAAATCCCCATTTGTACAGAATACTGAATACAGAATAACGTTTGATGATTTCTTAATATAAAAGCATCTCCTGTAGTCCATTTAATCAATAGTCTTTCAATTTTTGCTGCAACCACCAGAGCGTCAGTATTATCCTCAAGGAATAGTTCCAATAATTCAGCATGAATATCTACAAAGTTTTTATATTTGTTGTGCTTATCTTAGCCATTGCCATGGGTCAAGCAAAAGCAGATTTTTGGAAAAGGCTCGGCAAGAGAATTGTAAGTCAAATTAAGTTTATTTATTTAAACATTCAATATGAGCTTAATGTTCGTTGATTATCAATGTCCTTTTAGGAGCGTATTGGCCAACATGTTCGAGATGCCACCATTCAGGTTGTGGACATTGCTCAAAAGGCCGCAGATGTAACTGCCACGGTTAGAGGCTAAAGGCACTCTGCTTAGTAAAATAAATAAATAAAATATTATTTACTTAATAATTTATAATGAACTGATCATAAGAGAGAAGAAAACAAAACAGACTGTCTTGCTTAAGAAATAATATAATATTTGAATTAAATTAAACTAAACATTAAAAAAAATAAAACAGACTGTCTAGAAGATGCAAAAAACAAATATATATTATAAATCTAAATCTATTAAATGAAGCTGATAAATAATTTTGTTAACTAAAAGAATGATTCTTCAACTTGCCAAAACTAATATCCACTGCTACTGTTGGAAATAACTGTATTTGCCTATGTACACCGCAGCTTGTCTTGCATTCCCGTTTTGTAGTCTTAATCTGTTGTTGCCTGCGAGCAACGGTAATTGTAAGTTCCTTATGATCAAGACCTTCTTCGATGCTATGTTTAAGCTATTTTCATGAAGCAAGAGTCAGTCGCTTTTGGTCGCTTGAATCGCGTAGTATAAGTCGCATGAAGCGGACATATATTCTGTATTAAATACAAAGCTCTGAATAAATATAAACCCCAAGTCATAATAGCTACATAAATTAACACTGTAAAAATAAAACCAATTTACAAATATGTAAGTACAGTTGGTAATCGACTTTTATCACAGGGTTGATGTTCTAGTTGCGCAGAGTAGTTCTCACAGTTTTGGGTAACCTTCCACCAAATTGCACAAGTGTAAGAGCTCCCTTGGCAATAGACCCTTGGCCTGGACTCAGAACCCAGCAACTGTCTGTTGCTGGTCATTTTTGGGCATAAAACGCGATAAAATGTCAAAACACTTGTGAAACTCTGGGGTTGGGTTGCATAGCAATTGTGCCTGTGGCTGTAACACACACATGTTGTGTGTGTGTGTGTATGTTGTGTGTAATTTGCTTTGATTTACTTGCTTGGTAGCATGTCGACACGTGACCGCAAAGTTTACATTAAATTATCAGTACGCCCTGTGAAAATACATATAAGGATATATGAAGTTGCAATTAAAGTAAGTAAATGTGAGAGGGGGGGATTCGCGGATAACCAGCCTGCAAAAGTGAGCAAAGTAATCGAATTGAATTTGAATACGAATACGATACGAATGCGGCCTAATTACATGGCATCTCCATCGGCTTAGGGCAAGTCGCCTGGGAAATCGACCGTCTGGAGCCTTTTTATTGTCGTTGCCGTTGGCGGTTCGTAAAACTCGCGGCACATGGTTTGAATTATTGACAGCTTAGGTGGCGCAAGTGCCAGTCAATCATTATCATTTGAGCGCCTCAAATGCCCTGATTAGACAGCGTCACACTCAAATCATTTGAATAACAATAAAGATCAGCTTCTTGTCTCTGCTGCCAAACAAAAAATTCTAATTTATGCATTGATTCTCTATCCGCTCTCCGTGTTCTGTTAGCTTATGTAATAATCATTTTTAAATTAGAAAAAAAAAATTGACAGAATGCTACGCACATTGCCACATATAAGTAATTTAACAACTTCCTGACGCCCGCCCGCAGCGCGGATTGTAAAATTGCTGAAAGGCGGCGTCGTAAATCCCAACAAAAAATCATCTGTAAGCCGTCAGGCAACAGCAGCAACAGCAGCAGGAGCAGCATCAGCGAACACTTGAAAATATGTTTCAAAAAATTATTATATGCGTCACAGAATCTATAGATAGCAAATACATATACAAGCTACGCATGTGGTATGCACCACTCGCCTGGCTGCCCCCAAGGCTGCCTCTTCAGAAATCGTTTACAATACATTGAGAAGCCGCCGATGTATCAATAATATTTGCCCAAGCTAGAGTTCAAAAAGGTGGTGAAAGTTATTACCAAACAACGGAAGGGAGGCGGTAGGGGGTTCAGCTAAAAATAATGTTTGACTTAATTTCTTTTATGGCTCAATATAACCATTATTCGCACTACTTGAGCAGCCGGCCGAGTGGCGCCCCGGCCGCATAATCAGCAAATTTAAATTCAATTCGCTTCTCGCCAGCCAGCAGCGATTTTAAAGTGTTGCCAAGGGGGGCGTGGTGGGTGTCAGCAGCACTCGTTGTCGAGTCGTGCCGCAAATTTACCGACTTTCACTGCGAATCTCTGTGGCATCCTCGCCATATAAATATATATATATTTTTTTTTTGGCAATCCTTGCAATCGAGCGTAACGATTTAATTTGGCTTGTGCAAACTTAACTGCACAATTTATCATATTTAAGCAGACGTAAGTCATAAAAAGTACAATTTCATAATCTCACCGAACACTTAATATTGTCTAGCTTTAATTCCTTTCAATATTGCAAACTGCGCGAATACTCAACTATTTTCAGTTAGCATTTACTTATTTTGTTTTTGGTACAGACAATTTCCTAAGTTCGCAATAAATCAACGAGAAACACAAACCGCTTTTATTCAGTATTCACAAAAACAGTTGTTATTTTGGATATTTATTTTTATTTATCAAAATTGTATCGCCAAAAAAAAATACGCTAGCCAGTGACAAGGAGAACAATGCAAAACAATTCAATTTATGAAATATTTGTGCCCATCTATACATTTTTGTTTTCTGATTGAATGCTTGAATGGCTGGCTGGATGAATGCAGACGAGCATGAAAAATGCGATGCTTTCGCCTGAACTCAGGCATTACATTTCATACGCAATTCAATTTCGCTGTCCTTTCCGGAATTCGGTTGTAGTGCTCAACTCACATGTCGCCTGGCCTCGTTTGCCAGATTTATGGCCAGCTTGATGATGGTCGCACATTACATTGTCCAAATTAATAAAGGTGGCCCCTTTGGCACCAGTCGGGGTCGCCCTTTTGTCGCGAACTCTCACCCCTTTCCCAGCCACGGAGCAACAATTTAATAAACACAAAACAACAAGAGAAACGAGATCTTTTTTTGGTTGCTTTTCAAGCACAATTGAAATTGTTTTGGCTGACATCGTATGAATGTATCTGTGAGATACTGCTAAAACTATTCAGGCGAGCATTGTGTTTAGGCACTGAACTGCGTACTGGGCGCGCTTCACAATGCATAACTGTTGTGTAATAAAAGGAATTATTGAAATACTGTCGAATTCCACACGAATGCCCCTCAATAACAAGCCTTTTTTTAGATCTTCTTAGATCGCGTAAGGGCGTTAAGGGGCATATAATATTCGCCTATGGATATCCGAGCATGATTCTAGCAGGCTTGAAATGTCCTATTGCCATATGTCGCCAAATGTATTTTAGTAGAAAAACATGCAGTTATCACTTAATATTTTCTTTTTTAATTTTTCAGTTTCGTGTAATAAAATATAATAATAATTAATACGCTCAAATTCTTATACAATTGTTAATCATTTTTAATGAAAATCATACATACATCTAGACAAAGACTTCTTACTCTCGAATACTGCCTTTTAAAAAGGGTCGACTTGAAGATACCATGTATCCAGCTGTAAAAGTAATTAAATCGATTAAAACATAGGTTCTAGTTTTATTGCCAAATTTCCCATTAAAGACTTTTCACACTCAAATGTAGAATTTTATATGTATACAGAAATTAATTGCGCATGCTGGTAAAAACTTGTTCGATATGAAAAATAAATAATTAAGTGAGTGATTCTTGTCAGATCGTGATGCATTTTTTAACAGTTGCTGCATAAATATTATATGAAAATGTACATATATCATACATTAATGAATAGACTATACCTATATCCATTTTTAATGGGTTCATGGTATAAAAAAAAACAATGCAAATGTTTCAACTAAACAAGCAAACAAAATAAATAATAATTACAATAATTAAAAAAAATATTGAGATTAAAAGTTTTTTGTTCAAAATAACTAATTAATATGATTTAAGCTAAAATTTAAAACTATTTTTATTACTATTAAATATGTGAATATTTTGTTACAGTTGAGTAATTTCCTGCCGAAAGCTCTTCACTCTGCACTTTAAAACTTATACGGCTGAACTACATGTATTCTACAATTCTACAATTAATATCCATATAGATAAGCTAGCAATCCAATTAAAACTTTTACCACGCACTTTTGACTCTCAATTCAATTAATAACAATTTAACGCTCCGTGGCACAACACCGTGCTTGGTCGACAGTCCACAGTTCCCAGTTGTTGGCCATCGCAACGATTATGAGGATAAAAGAAAATGTGGCCAAACGTTTTCCTCTGACAGGCGCACGTCAGATTCTGGCCGGGCGTAAATTAATCTCGATCCGTGGCAGCGGTGATGAAAAAATTATTAATGAGACGCATGTGTGAGTGCGAAAAGTCTTAATCAAAGTAAAAAAAACGAAGAAAAAAGAGAACAGGACCCGCACCCTCATTAACGGGAAATTAGTTTTGCAGGAGTGTTTGGTCTGATTCCTGGTGTCAAAATGAGATGAACAAAGGCGACGAGGCTTTCTCTTTTTTCGGGTCACTTTTGCTTGGGGTGATTAAACGCGGAAATGAGGCAAACAGCACACACAGCAAACAGACCCGGACCGGCCGGCCAATCGACCAGTTTCCTGGCCGTTGACACTTCTGCGATTAGTGCCGAATCAAATCCAAGTCCGAGGTGTACAAATCGCATAATATTAGAGCAGGGGCAAAAAAGATGTATCTGTGGATTAACATTCAAGTTTGTCCCAGTTTGCTGGCATTGTTAGAAATGTTTTTTTCCCATGCGCATTTCATTTGAATTAATTTGTGGCACTCAAGTGGCACACATAAATCCCCAGCACGTTGCATTGTCCTGTCCGCCGGAGTGAAGTACGAGCCCCTGAGTGCACTTAATTATGCGGAAACGAACGTATTCGTAGACATTTGCTTTAATTTCTGACTTATTTTACACCAAATTGGCCGCAATTATTTTTCCATTCAGCTCGCGCCTGCGGCTGATGAGCGTCAAATGCAGCCAAAGTATTTTTTGGTAACGTGAAATCCAAACGGAAGTTTATGATTAGTACAGTTGCGCACCTTGTTGCACGTTGTTGTTGCGTGTTTT